ACTTTCTAAGATCAACTCACTAAACACTACCAATGCCTTCTTTACCAATAAAACTTTCTAAATTCAGCTTACTAAACACTACCAACGACTTCTTTACCAATAACACTTTCTAAGATCAACTCACTAAACACTACCAATGCCTTCTTTACCAATAAAACTTTCTAAATTCAGCTTACTAAACACTACCAACGACTTCTTTACCAATAACACTTTCTAAGATCAACTCACTAAACACTACCAATGCCTTCTTTACCAGTAAACTGTCTAAATTCACCTCACTAAACCCTACCATACTACCAACACCTTTATTACCAATTACATGTCTTAAGTTCAGTTCACTAAACACTACCAATGCCTTCACTAGCAATAGAACTTTCTTAGTTAACTCACTAAACAGTACCAATCCCTTCTTTAGCAATAAAACTTTCAAAGTTCAGCTCACTAAACACTACCAACACCTTCTTTACCAATAAACTTTCTTCGTTCAGCTCACTAAACACTACCAACAGTTTAATTTCCAATAACATTTCAAAGTTCACCTCACTAAACACTACCAACGCCTTCTTCACCAATAATTTAAAACGTTCAAAGTTCAACTCACTAAACACTACCAAAGCTTGTATTCCCTAATGTACCTAATAAGCTTAACATCGATCTGTTTTCGAGACTCTCAACACGACCTGTGCTCACCCGCACCCCTCACCACCAACACACAACAAACCCCAATCAACTTAAAAATAAGCAAAAAGTCTTCGGCATAACAGAAAACAAAAAACCAATAGATGACACATATGCTGTAACAACAAACAATCCATTTAATCCACCCGCGGAACATCGATCTGTTTTCGACACATCCTGTGCTCACCCCCACCCCTCCCAACCAACACACAACAAACACTAATGAACTTCAAGATAAACCAAAAGCCTTTTCACCATAAAACAATACAAAAAACTAACAACCATTTTGGGCGGGAGGATATGGAACACGAACAGTTTCCATCTGGAACTTTTTGAGGGGAGGGGAGGGGGAGTTATTTCGAACACCATCTCGACCCATCTGAACCTTCATTTTTTACTATATATGATCCTTAATTTTTTACTACTTAA